TGTCCTTGATGTGGACAATCTGGAAAGACAGAAACGGCAGGCTTTTTCAAGGAGAACATATGCATGAAAGACAAGCAGAAAAGTTCTTCCGAAGATTGATAGGGACGCAGAAGAACCTGGGTACTCGGTTTGGTTTGGGTCACAGGAGGCCATTAGGAGGGTGGTGGGTGGTGAGCCATGGAGCTAACAGGAACCAGAGGTTCCAACCGGCCGTTTTATGGCCGGTGTCAGGCCGTTTTTTAGGCCTGTATATTAGGTTACTAACTTTAGGATAGATAGCTAGTTAAAGGGATAGAAAGGTGAAGAGTTTAGTATGAAGTCGATTTTGGCCATTATTTGGGTTTTGTTTTTAGAACAGATAATGTGGGCAAGTTGAGATGTGAGCCAGCCTGGATGGCTGTAAGCGAAACCGGCTGAAGCTGCCAGGATAACTTCGGGTTGAATTGTGGGGTCCCCGGCCTCAAATTGAATGCTTGTTGCTATAAGGGAATGGAAGGTTTAAAAATAATAATAATAATAAAAAATGATATCATTAAAAAAAAAAAAAAAGAAAAGAAAAAAAAAAGATATCTCAACACCGTCGCGCTTTCAAAAAACAAACAAACAAACAAACAAACAAACAAACAAACAAACAAACAAACAAACAAACAAAAAAAAAAAAAAAAAAAAAAAAAAAAAAAATTAAAAAAAAAAAAAAAAAAAAAAAAGAAAAACAAACAAACCCCTGTAAGGCTGTAACACCAAAACGAAAAGAACACCCAAAAAAAGTCCCTACCTCTCCTCCTCACAACCACCTTCCCCCCTGACCTGATTCTTGCCTACCTTCAGCGGGGAGCATTTCCTCGAATATGCATAGCTGGCACGTGTAGCGTTGGTCCTCTAGAATATATCTCTTCCTCCCCTCAACATACGTAAGGGACGTGCTACACTCCTCCTCCCCTCCTAATAAGTTCATCCCTAGAGATGCTGTCTGCGACCTGTCTTCCAAGAACCTGCTATCCAGAGACAAGAAGTTTGTGGTTCTCAACTTGTCGACCTTGTGGTAGGTAGGAGCTGATCAGCCAAAAAAAAAAAAGTACGTCACTTGCTTCCAAGACATATCAACGAGTCCAGGAGGAGTATGTGCAGGTTTCATCTATCGCTAAGGAAACTCTCAACGCAAATCCAAAGGAGCTAGCTGCTAGGAGAAGAATAACAAGGTGATGATGGGGCGAGTGGGCTAGCTGATGAGCAGGTTTTTTTTTTAATGGAAAATAAAACTGCAGTTCCTTTCCATATGTGGGCACCTGATGATGTATACTACGCCATACTGTCCCTTCGATGACAATAAAAGGCCGAAAGCAAACATAGAGCGAACATAGACATCTTCCAATCTTCCAGGACGTTGTTCACACACACAAGGAGCCACGCACGGTGCCAGCTCTTATCAGCACTCCTAGCATCACCGTGGAGAATTGACTGAAAAAAAAAAAAAAAAAAAAAAAAAAA